CGTATAAAAGCTGAGAATATTACCGGAAAATCTTTACGGGCTCACCATAGCCCGTGCTACATGGACACTTCGTCCTGAGTAGCTAAATCTTTAACAACAACAACAACAACTGGAAAATCATGGTGAAGAATAGATAATTAAGAGAAAGATTAAGAGAGTGGGAAAATTGCATGAACGACCAGGCGACGGCAGATTGCGCAAGACAATTTCCTCCTCCTAACAGTCTTATAATGCCTTCTATCGTCTTATTTTTTGTTGTTCTAATTACAAATTTTTTTGTGGAGTGTGTGGCTATACATGGCCAAGACGGGAGAAGAAGGGAGCCGGTCGGCCGAGCGGACAGCACGCTGGACTTGTGATCCTGTGGTCCTGGGTTCCATCCCAGGCGCCGATCCCAGAGTTTCTTTCACCCTATGCCCCTGTTACCTAGCAGTAAAATAGGTACCTGGGTGTTAGTCAGCTGTCACGGGGTGCTTCCTGGGGGTAGAGGCCTGGTCGAGGACCGGGCCGCGGGGACACTAAAAAAAAAAAAATGCCCCGAAATCATCTCAAGATAACCTCAAGATAGACTGGTTTAATTCCTTTCCTTCAATGTTGTAGCGAGTCAGTGTCAAAGACCTTTTGCTCGACGAACACACTTAAGAATACACAAGTAATCTGTCTAGTTGCTGTGTGAGGCCATCTCTAGGGGGCCAGATTCACGAAGCAGTTATCCAAGCACTCACGAACCTGGGGCCAGATTCACGAAGCAGTTATCCAAGCACTCACGAACCTGGGGCCAGATTCACGAAGCAGTTATCCAAGCACTCACGAACCTGGGGCCATATTCACGAAGCAGTTATCCAAGCACTCACGAACCTGTGGCCAGATTCACGAAGCAGTTACGCAAACACTTACGAACCTGTCCATCTTTACTCAATTTTTGGCGGCTTTGTTTACAATTATTAAACAGTTAATGAGCTCCGAAGCACCAGGAGGCTGTTTATAACAATAACAACAGTTGAATGGGAAGTTTTCATGCTTGTAAACTGTTTAATAAATGTAACCAAAGCCGTCAAAGATTGAAGAAAGATGTATACGTTCGTAAGTGCTTGCGTAAGTGCTTTCGTGAATCTGGCCTCAGCTTTGCCCCTAAATCCGTTCATGAATGCGCCTTGAATCCGTTCATGAATCCGCATCGAATCCTAGAGTTCAAGACAAAGGCACGGTCCATAGACCCAGTCAGGCAGACGGACAATAGACATAACTAAGAGAGAGATAGGGCGAATAGAGAGGGGGAGATCTGAGAGACAGGTAAAGAGATAGACAGTTGACTAAATAATGAGCGTGGCCTCTGTCTAAACCTGTTTTCTCAGGTTAATTGCTCAGCAGAGCAGCGACTCAAAGTTTTCTCTATGACTGGAGCTAAAATAATTATCAATAAAACTTAAGTCTATCTCCCTAAGTCAATAATGGCGAAATTTAGATCAGATTTTAGTCTGATGTGATCTGATTAAATTTAGATTTAGATCATTGACGGTTGAGAGGCGGGACCAAAGAGCCAGAGCTCAACCCCCGCAAACACAACTAGGTGAGTACACGACGTCGCTGCGCTCTGGGGTCGCAGTCCTAAGGGCCCGGGTTCGATTTCCGGCCAAGGTAGAAATAAATAGGCAGAGTTTCTTTCACCTGATCCGCCTGTTCACCTAGCAGTAAATAGTTACCAGGAAGTTTGGCTTCTGCTTAGGGCTGCATCCTAAGTATATATATGTCTATGAGAAACCGAAAAATGTATTTAGATAAAGGAAAATTAGATCGGGAGTCAGTACATTAGACAACCGACGGTTAGAAAGGCGGGGTCCAAGAGCTAACAGCAGGAAAAAATACTAAAAAAAAAGTCTATACGCACACACACACCTTGTATACCACATATGTCAAACCAATCCTAAAGTATGCAGCTCCATATTGGAGTCCATACCTTGTCAAGTACAAGACGAAGATGGAGGAGGTTCAGAGGTATGTCACTAGACTACTCCCAGAAGAGGCATGAGTTATGAGGAAAGGCTGCGTGAACTCACGTCGTTGGAAGGCAGAAGAGTTCTCAGAGACATGATCACCACATACAAAATTCTCAGGGGAATTGACAAGGAATTGAATTAATTGAATTCATTCCCGTAGTCTTTTCTCGTAACTCATACCTCTCAGTCCTGGGACTAATCTAGTGGCATACCTCTTAACTCTTCTCTAACTTTGTCTTGTGTTTAACTAAATATGAACTCCAGGCTGAAGCTGCATACTCCAGGATTGGTGTGACATATGTGGTATACAAGGTTCTCAATGATTCCTTATACAAGTTTCTAAAGACGGATTATTTAACACGGGTGGAGCCCGAACAAGGGGACACAGGTGGAAGCTGAGTACCCACATGAGCCACAGAGACGTTAGAAAGAACTTTTCAGAGTCAGAGTAGTTAGTAAATGGAATGCATTAAGTAGTGTTGTGGTGGAGGCTGACTCCATACACAGTTTCAAGTGTAGATATGATAGAGCCTAATAGGCTCAGGAACCTGTACACCAGTTGATTGACGGTTGAGAGGCGGGACCAAAGAGCCAGAGCTCAACCCCCGCAAACACAACTAGGTGAATGCATTAAGCAGTGATGTGGTGGAGGCTGACTCCATACACAGTTTCAAGTGTAGATATGATAGAGCCCAGTAGGCTCAGGAACCTGTACACCAGTTGATTGACGGTTGAGAGGCGGGACCAAAGAGCCAGAGCTCAACCCCCGCAAACACAACTAGGTGAATGCATTAGGCAGTGATGTGGTGGAGGCTGACTCCATACACAGTTTCAAGTGTAGATATGATAGAGCCTAATAGGCTCAGGAACCTGTACACCAGTTGATTGACAGTTGAGAGGCGGGGCCAGAGAGCCGAAGCTCCACCCCCGCAAGCACAACTAAATGAGTACCAGTTCATAAACGCTAAAAAACATATTCTTTACGTATATATTATATATGTTCTTGACCTGAACAAGTACAGTACTGGTACAGCTCGACGCTTCAAACTAACCCGATACATTTCGAACGGTTGTCTACGTCCACGGGTCCCATTCAAGAATAGATGGAATAGATAGAATAGAATAGAATAGATAGAATTTTGTCCCGCCCGGGTTCAATTCCCGGGCGGGACAAAAACGTTTGGGCACGTTTTCTTTCACCTGATGCACCCGTTCATCCGGGAAAGGTTTGTAATTGGCCGAGCTGGAGCCTCAGTTATACAGGCTTCCTGTCTCCGATAATCTACATTTATGAAACTTAAAGCTGAAAGTTGCTTTTAAGTTGATGAAAGTTAATTTTTGTTATGACTATTCTTCAGGTATTGGTGCCAGGAGAATACATAGACCCAAGAGTCACTTGTGAAGAAAGGTTATCTTGAGATGATTTCGGGGCTTAAGTGTCCCCGCGGCCCGGTCCTCGACCAGGCCTCCATCCCCAGGAAGCAGCCCGTAGCAGCTGTCTAACTCCCAGGTACCTATTTACTGCTAGGTAACAGGGGCATCAAGGTGAAAGAACCATTTTGAACATTTGACTCCGCCTCCACCGGGATTCGAACCCGGAACCTCAGGACTACGAACCCGAAGCGCTGTCCACCCAGCTATCAGGCGCCCATGGAGGAGTGGAGGAGAGGTCAGGAAGAGGACGCAAAAGAAGCAATGAAGCGAAGACAAAAAGGAACGAGACATAACACAGACAACGATATGAGCCGAGGGAAGAAGAGAGCAGAGGAGAGAAGAGGAAGGAACATTAGAGCTATAACGAAGATAGAAGAGAGGAAGAGAGAGAAAACACAATTAGGGGATTTAGGCAGGGGGATAGGAAAGACAGGAAGACGTCACTGGAAGTCACTGACGTCTTCTTAACAACAACAAGACCCCGACGTCTTGTGTCTTCTTAACCACAAGAAGACCCCGACGTCTTGTCTTCTTAACCACAAGACACCGACGTCTTGTGTCTTCTTAACCACAAGACCCCGACATCTTCTTAACCACCCCTTCCAGCGCCTCGCTGGAAGGGGTGGTTAAGAGAAAGGTGTGGAAAAGAAGGTAGAAAACTCAAGAGATACAAGAATATAAGTCACAATAACGTGGCCGAAGACACGATGACCAGACCACACACCTGAAGTAGAGGAAAGCGACGACCTGTCGGTCCCTTCTGGACCATTATCACACACGACTTGATAATGGTCCACGACGGGCCGACAGGTCGTCGTCTCCTCATCTTCTGGTGTGTGGTCTGGTCAGCACGAGAAACAATAGCGGGAAGATGAGGCCACGTGAGGAGCCAGACATTGGCTTAAGGAGAGGAACCAGACAGGAGCTAAGGAGAGGAGCCAGACAAGGACTTAAGGAGAGGAGCCAGGCAAGGGCTTAAGGAGAGGAGCCAGACAAGAGCTTAAGGAGAGGAACCAGACACTGGCTTAAAGAGAGGAGCCAAAGCCACACCCACACCAGACACCGGCTTAAGGAGAGGAGCCAGACAAGGACTTCAGGAGAGGAACCAAAGCCACACCCACACCAGAAAGCTCTGCTGGTGTCCCCTTGAGGTCACACCTCCCCTACCGTCATCCCACAACCCACAGGAATGCCTCAATAATCACCATTACACAAGGGCTCTATAGCCTCTGAGAGCATATTCCGAGTATCATGCTCCTTAAGATCACTCACAATAAATCATGCTCCTTAAGATCACTCACAATAATACATAATGGGTCTCGAAGCAGCCTTGGCGTAGCGGTGCTGACGGAAGCGCTCAGCCGCGACATACACACACACCCTAGAGAGGTGTTACTAAGGGTCAAAACTGCAGTTTGGAGGATTGACAGGAGACACGCCCTGGTGACCTTCCAGAGGACGTGAAGCACTCCTTCGTCACCTCCAGCAGCAGCAGGAGGAGGAGGAGGAAGGAGTCTCACCCCTATATAATGCCTTGACTACTTCGACTCTGCGTCAGTTCCTTGCTGTGCGTCGCTAAAACAACACAATTCGAGGTAAACGCCGCGTTAAATCTTACAAAAAACAGCTTTTGAGTGAAACAAAAAATCAAATTTTCTACTTCCCTCAAGCACACAATAGCTTTTATATCACTAAACTATTATCAGCTGTAATTGAAATATATATATATACATATATATATATAATTATATATACCTTTTCAGCACATTCTTGATATCGTTTGCTATTTTAAAACGTATCACTCATCCAACGACTATTTCAGAAAAGTTCATTCCATCGCTAAAATAAGTGCACGCTGATTGCAGGCATTAAAGCATCGCTCGCTCTCACAGGTAATGTCTGGGTGTCTTAGCATACTGTTGGTGTTGGCGACGGCGACGGCTGCCAGGGCTGAAGCTGGCTATCCGGTTCTTGAGCCTTTGTATCCGGTCCCCAGCCCTCTATATCCGCCTCCCGAGCCCATATATCCGGTGGCTGAACCATGTTACCCGAAGACTGCCTACGTCACAGCTGTCAAGACCGCCCTCCAACAGGTAGGTGTTATCTTGAGGTTATCTTGAGATGATTTTGGGGCTTAGCGTCCCCTCGGCCCGGTCCTCAACCAGGCCTCCTTTTTGTTACACATCCCCAGGAAGCAGCCCGTAGCAGCTGTCTAACTCCCAGGTACCTATTTACTGCTAGGTAACATCAGGGTGAAAGAAACATTTTGCCCATTTGTCTCCGCCTCCACCGGGGATCGAACCCGGAACCTCAGGACTACGAATCCGAAGCGCTGTCCACCCAGCTGTCAGGCGCCCTATGCCCAGATGTTGGAGATAATAGGACTAATTGGTCCTGACACGGGTCATATACAGTGAAGGGGTGAACCCAATTGCTTGGTGTGTATACCCTAAGAGTATACTTTAGTCCTGCACAATGTTCAGGACTAAAGTATACTTGGTGGTTGGTCAGTAAGTTGTTGTGGTGGTCTTAATAACCCTCCAGAGGTTGATAGGTCTTAATAACCCTCCAGAGGTTGATAGGTCTTAATAACCCTCCAGAGGTTGATAGGTCTTAATAACCCTCCAGAGGTTGGTAGGTCTTAATAACCCTCCATAGAGGTTGACAGGTCTTAATAACCCTCCAGTGGTTGATAGGCCTAAATAACCCCCCAAAGCTTGATAGGCCTTAATAACCCTCCAGAGGTTGATAGGCCTTAATAACCCTCCAGAGGTTGATAGGTCTTAATAACCCTCCAGAGGTTGATAGGTCTTAATAACCCTCCAGAGGGTGATAGGTCTTAATAACCCTCCAGAGGTTGATAGGTCTTAATAACCCTCCAGAGGTTGATAGGTCTTAATAACCCTCCAGAGGTTGATAGGTCTTAATAACCCTCCAGAGGTTGGTAGGTCTTAATAACCCTCCATAGAGGTTGACAGGTCTTAATAACCCTCCAGAGGTTGATAGGTCTTAATAACCCTCCAGAGGTTGATTGGTCTTAATAACCCTCCAGAGGTTGATAGGTCTTAATAACCCTCCAGAGGTTGATAGGTCTTAATAACCCTCCAGAGGTTGATAGGTCTTAATAACCCTCCAGAGGTTGATAGGTCTTAATAACCCTCCAGAGGTTGATAGGCCTTAATAACCCTCCAGAGGTTGATAGGTCTTAATAACCCCCCAGAGGTTGATAGGTCTTAATAACCCTCCAGAGGTTGGTAGGTCTTAATAACCCTCCATAGAGGTTGACAGGTCTTAATAACCCTCCAGTGGTTGATAGGCCTAAATAACCCCCCAAAGCTTGATAGGCCTTAATAACCCCACAGAGGTTGATAGGCCTTAATAACCCTCCAGAGGTTGATAGGCCTTAATAACCCCACAGAGGTTGATAGGCCTTAATAACCCTCCAGAGGTTGATAGGCCTTAATAACCCTCCAGAGGTTGATAGGTCTTAATAACCCTCCAGAGGTTGATAGGTCTTAATAACCCTCCAGAGGTTGGTAGGTCTTAATAACCCTCCAGAGGTTGATAGGCCTTAATAACCCTCCAGAGGTTCATAGGCCTTAATAACCTCCCAGAGACTGATAGGCCTTAATAACCCCCCAGAGGTTGATAGGCCTTAATAACCCTCCAGAGGTTGATAGGCCTTAATAACCCTCCAGAGGTTCATAGGCCTTAATAACCTCCCAGAGACTGATAGGCCTTAATAACCCCCCAGAGGTTCATAGGCCTTAATAACCCCCAGATGCCTTAATAACCCTCCAGAGGCTGATAGACCTTAATAACCCTCCAGAGGCTGATAGGCCTTAATAACTCATTATAATTTCCAACAAATTAGCTTGTACTACACCCTATATATATATATATATATATATATATATATATATATATATATATATATATATATATATATATATATATATATATATATATATATATATATATATATATATATATATATATATATATATATATATATATATATATATATATATATTCCAACTGTTTCAATAATTATAGAACTCTATACTGTTGTTTTTCGCATGTTGCTATGCTAGATCTTGAGTCGTGGTCTAAATTGATCTTATCTTGCTGTTTTCTTCTCTCCAGATACCTGTGTACGAGACAGCAATCCAAAAACAGGTCGTCCCCACCACCCTATACAAGACCCACTACCAAACCCAGTACCAGACCAAATACCAGACCCAATACGTCCCCGAATACGTCACTGAGACCGTCTACAAGACCCAGGTCCAATACGTTCCCCACTACCAGACGCAGTACCAGACGCAGTACCAAACTCAATACGTCACCACTGCCGAGTATGTGCCCAAGTACGTCACGGAGACGCTCTACCAGACGCACTACCAGACGCAGGTGGTGTACAAGACCGCCTACACCACGGTTCACACCCCCCAGTACGTCACTAAGACGCAGGTGCAGTACCAGACCCAGTACAAGACGCAGGTGGTACCTGAGTACGTCACCGTCGCTTTGGACAAGGTGGCCTACGTCACTGCCTGTCCTAAGCAGTACTATCCGGAACTCGTTGTCGACTACGTTTAACGACGTCGATATATCTCTACGTTTAACGTCGATATATTTCAACGATTTAACAACGTCGATATATTTCTACGTCTAACGTCGATATATTTCAACGATTTAACAACGTCGATATATTTCAACGATTTAACAACGTCGATATATTTCAACGATTTAACAACGGTCGATGTATTTTCTATGTCGTAACTTGTTCTATAGCATCTAAATCCCCTCAAATTGGTCTCTAATATCCACCTACATCTAAACTGTTTGTCCCTTCAATGTCTATCTAAATTCTATCTATTGTTTCCCTATTCTCGCCATGATCAGCTAGTTTTATGACCTTCTTAAGAACAAGACGTGTATAATATTCAATAAAGAATTGCAGTATATATGGCTTTGGTCTTTGTGACAAACCTGTAAGAAAACGTGAATAAATTACATGATAATATCATTTATAATCATGTTGACGTGATAATTATCATAAATTATCATTAGTGAATAAGTAGTAGTAGAATGTATGAACTGCTACACATTCTATTAGTCATTTAACAGTGTGGTGTTAACTGAGCCATTTAATTAACAGTGTGGTGTTAACTAAGCCATTTAACAAGAGTGGTGATCACTAGAGGGAGCCGGTCGGCCGAGCGGACAGCACGCTGGACTTTGTGATCCTGTGGTCCCGGGTTCGATCCCAGGCGCCGGCGAGAAACAATGGACAGAGTTTCTTTCACCCTATGCTCCTGTTACCTAGCAGTAAAATAGGTACCTGGGTGTTAGTCAGCTGTCACGGGCTGCTTGCTGGGGATGGAGGCCTGGTCGAGGACCGGGCCGCGGAGACACTAAAGCCCCGAAATCATCTCAAGATAGATGAATTAAATGAAGCTGTCACTTGAACAATTTTGCAATCGCTGCTGTCGAGGAAGAAGGAAATGTGTAATAGCGAGGTGGAACAGCTTTGGCCGCTTTGTTTACTAGGAGAGACATGCAATTTCCCCGCCACAGGATCGCATTTCAACCTGAATTTACCTGAGCGCCTTCTAGTGGCCTCAAGAGGATCATCAAGCCAGTGAATTGTCAAGGATCTCTCATGAATTGGAAACAATTCAAGATATGAATTCTGTTTCATGAGATGAATTGTTTCCGGATGAATTCTGAACTATATTATTCACTCATCTTCAGAGTACTCATTACTTACGTCACAGTATGTGGTTAAGATGTACATAAGCATAGTACTGTATTCATTCTTACAGTACTCCTACCAGAGGCTAGATTCACAAAGCAGTTACGCAAGCACTTACGAACCTGGGGGCCAGATTCACGAAGCAGTTATGCAAGCACTTACGAACCTGGGGGCCAGACTCACGAAGCAGTTACGCAAGCACGAGCCTGTACATCTTTTCTCAATCTTTGGCGGCTTTGTTTACAATTATTAAACAGTTAATGAGCTCCGAAGCACCAGCAGGCTGTTTATAACAATAACAACAGCTGATTGACAAGTTTTCATGCTCGTAAACTGTTTAATAAATGTAACCAAAGCCGTCAAAGATTGAGGAAAGATGAACACGTTCGTAAGTGCTTGCGTAACTGCTTCGTGAATCTGGCCCCAGGTTCGTAAGTGCTTGCGTAACTGCTTCGTGAGTCTGGCCCCACTAAAGCATTCTCTACGGTGATATTCACAGTCATTCAAGTAGGTCTGGTATTCAGTCACGTAGTGTTCTATAATGTAACCAGCGAGTGTAATAGACTTGGGATCGTTGAACTGTTTCAGGCCTAAGTTAGAAATATGTATGGTTGAGTTTAGGTGGATACAATGCCTCGTATGGACCAATAGGAGTTGCCTCGTATGAACCAATAGGAACTGCCTGGTTTGGACCAATAGCAGCTGCCTCGCATGGACCAATAGGAGCTGCCTCGTATGGACCAATAGCAGCTGCCTCGTATGGACCAATAGCAGCTGCCTCGTATGGACCAATAGGAGCTGCCTCGTATGGACCAATAGGAGCTGCCTCGCATGGACCAATAGCAGCTGCCTCGTATGGACCAATAGCAGCTGCCTCGTATGGACCAATAGCAGCTGCCTCGTATGGACCAATAGCAGCTGCCCCGTATGAATCGACAGGCTTTAAGCATATTTATTTACTAGGTTTTTGTTACTATCTTTTATTATTAAAATAGGTCTGGTAGACATTCTGTCCAGCGGTCATCATCTGGGAGTCTCCCCACAACAACAGAAACAGGAATCGAGTATTAAAATCCACATAACAGCTTGCACTGCAAGACAGAGGTAGTTGGAGAGCTGGTTATCTTGAGGTTATCTTAAGGTTATCTTGAGATTATCTTGAGATTATCTTGAGGATATCTTAAGGTTATCTTGAGATTAACTTGAGGATATCTTGAGATTAACTTGAGGATATCTTGAGGTTATCTGGAGATTAACATGAGGATATCTTGAGATTATCTTAAGGTTATCTTGAGATGATTTCGGGGCTTAGCGTCCCCGCGGCCCGGTCCTCGACCAGGCCTCCTTTTTGTTACACATCCCCAGGAAGCAGCCCGTAGCAGCTGTCTAACTCCCAGGTACCTATTTGCTGCTAGGTGAACAGGGGGCAACAGGGTGAAAGACACATTTTGCCCATTTGTCTCCGCCTCCACCGGGGATCGAACCCGGAACCTCAGGACTACGAATCCTGAGCGCTGTCCACTCAGCCGTCAGGCGTGTATATATATATATATATATATATATATATATATATATATATATATATATATATATATATATATATATATATATATATATATATATATATATATATATATATATATATATATATATATATATATATATATATATAATTTATCCACTGTTTCTAAAAATATTTCATTACATTAAATGAACAAAATTTACACTGTATCCTCCCCAATAATTTATCAAAATAACATCATAAAAATCCCTTGTTGTACATGGCATAGGAAGTTGTACATGTCTTAGTGAGTTGCATATGACCTATATAGTTAGTTGTACATGATTGAACCAGTTGTACATGACCTTGCCACTTGTAAGTGATTCAGCAAGTTGTACGTGATCTAATCACGTGTGCGTGATGTTGCAAAGTGTACATAATCCAGCAATAAGTACATCATCTAGCGAGTTGTATATGATGTAGTCACGTGTATGTCTGGCAAGGTGTTCATGATGTAGTCACGTGTATGTCTGGCAAGGTGTACATGATGTAGCCAGGTGTATATCTATGAAGGTGTACAAGATGTAGCCAGGTGTATGTCTGGCAAGGTGTACATGATGTAGTCACGTGTATGTCTGGCAAGGTGTACATGATGTAGCCAGGTGTATATCTATCAAGGTGTACAAGATGTAGCCAGGTATATATCTAGCAAGGTGTACAAGATGTAGCTAGGTATATATCTAGCCAGGTGTACATAACAAGTGTCAGGCTACACCATTGTACACTGCGGAAGCTCCTTGGAAAGGTTCCTTAAGACACCTTCAGGGAGCCTCTTAATTCCTCGTCTGGGGCTCCGGTTGTATTCCTTCTGTCTCTGTATTGATTTTATTGTTGCTGTGTTTGTTATATGTTCTTATTTTTCCTTGCTATTGTTCTTGGTGGTGTTCCGGTGTCACTCGTTCCGGTGGTGTTTGTCTTAGATTTCCTAACCTCGTCTTGTTGGTTTCTTGATGAAATGATGACGGAGACACGAGTCTAACTTTCTTTATCGACGTGTTGGCTTTGGGGGTTTGGGGTTCTTCATTCGAGCCTCACTCTTCCACATCTTCCAACCCCTCCCGACCCCATCTCGACCCCTCCCGACCCCATCTCGATCCCTCCCGACCCCATCTCGACCCCTCCCGACCCCATCTCGACCCCATCTCGACCCATCTCGACCCCATCTCGACCCCATCTCGACCCCATCTCGACCCCTCCCGACCCCACTCAACCCCATCTCAATTCCCCCTAATTCTCACCCGACCCCCTCTCGAACCCTTCCGGTCGGCCGGGCGGACAGCACGCTGGACTTGTGATCCTGTGGTACTGGGTTCGATCCCAGGCACCGGCGAGAAACAATGGGCAGAGTTTCTTTCACCCTATGCCCCTGTTACCTAGCAGTAAAATAGGTACCTGGGTGTTAGTCAGCTGTCACGGGCTGCTTCCTGGGGGTGGAGGCCTGGTCGAGGACCGGGCCGCGAGACACTAAAAAGCCCCGAAATCATCTCAAGAGAACCTCAAGATAACCTTCTGACCCCAACCAACGCCTCTCGATCCCTTCCGACCTCTGCCAACAATTTCCGACCCCATTTAGCACTCCAAACCCATATCCGCCTCCTCCCATCTCACCCAAAACTCCCCCGCACGTCGCCTCGAAGGCGCAATCACCGTCACGAGTGAGCATACTCTGAGTACCGCAAACAGCACGACCTCACTGAGCGCGACCTTCGTCAGAGGGAACTCCTCCCCGCTGACGGAGCAGCGAACAAGACAAGGAGCAGGAGGAGGAGCAGCCCCGCCCTACGCGCACTATAAATACCAGCTCCGGAGTCCCTTGTATCGTCAGTCTCTCGCTAGCCGTCAAAGAGGAAACAACAGCTCTTCCAAGGTGATCACTTGAGCTCATAAGTGACGTGTACAGTGAGAGGTGTATAGTCAGCTTCTCAGTGTACATACAGAGAGATTTTGATTTTTTGATTGTTGCCGCCGAAGGCGGCTAGTTTATTGTGCACCCCATACTCATCCTGTGAGCGGTAGCGCAAAGGCGTTACAGAGGGAACAAAAGGTCTTTATCAGACCTCATCTTAGATTACATAAACAATTTCATCTATCCTTCAAACATTATAGTTACAATGTCAGCTAGTTACAGAGAAAGTGCTATTACAAGAGCTACATATTTACAGTAAGTCATCATACATTAATGGTAGGTCTTGTCGCTAATACATAATAGTACATATATAATACATAATACATAACAGCTACTTCATACAATGAGAGTATTCAATAGTCCTGGACTATGCTCAGGACTCAAGAATACTCGCTGGTTGGTGAGTAGGCTATTGTGGTGGTCTTAATAACCCTCCGAGAGGTTGATAGGCCTTAATAATCCCAGAGGTTGATAGTTCTTAATAACCTTCCAGAGGTCAAGAGGCTTTAAGCCCAAAACCAAATCAACTCTAGGTCTCATTTTATTTTTTGCTTTTGCCTTCTCTTGACTATGACTAGCACTTACAAGTAGATATATCAGAAAACATATTGGAATATACAGTTGTGCTTTGAAGGGAATGTATATATTCGCCTTGAATATTCTCAGCCATTGCATTCGTTGAAGGAAAAGTATTTTGACTCTTATAGTTAGAGGATATTAATGGATATTTAATATGATAAGCATCAAGTTGATAAGTATCAAATTTCCAACCTCAGATATTCACATGTTTTAGGATTAAAGTCAACTGAAATTTCGCAATAAGAATACGTATTTTGACTTATATAAATTGGAAATAACAAATAGAATAACATTATACTATATATGCTGTGAAGTTTAATATATTCTGTTGGGGGATATCAATTGATGTTTGGCTATATGTGTCATTTCCTACAGATGGTGTCATCAAGTGTATGTGTGGTGGTGTTGGCAGTGGTGGCAGCGGTGGGAGCTGACCCCGTTTACCCTCAGCCTTGCTACCCCAAGACCCAGTATGTCACCCAGTACCAGACGCAGGTCCAGCAGGTGAGTACTGGGGCAGGTCAGTACTGGGGCAGGTCAGGCTTGTTAGAACTGGAGCAAGTCCATGTGATAAGTGATGGAGTAGATCAGTTCCTGTGCAGGCGATGAGTCACAATAACGTGGCTAAAGTATGTTGACCAGACCACACACTAGAAGGTGAAGGGACGACGACGTTTCGGTTCGTCCTGGACCATTCTCAAGATCGACTTGAGAATGGTCCAGGACGGACCGAAACGTGGTCGTTCCTTCACCTTCTAGTGTGTGGTCTGGTCAACAGATCAGTTCCTGGTAAGATACTAGAGAAAATCTTACAATACTGGTTCAGTACCAGTCGCCTAGAGGTCAATATATGCTCAGATCCTATAGGTCAATACCGGTTCAAGACATGAACATCAATGGCATTGGTTAGTTCTAAAGAAAGACCTCAAACAATCAGATTCTATGTGAGATTCTTTAAGGTGAACGAAAAGCAATTTTTCAATAACATAAACAAATGCAAAACACTTAGGACCATTGGCCAGAATAGGAAAAAATATTCTACGATTATCATGTAAAAATAATTAGCTTTTAATAGTAGCTGTTTCCCCACTACAGGTACCAGTGTACAAGACCATCTACAAGCAGCAGCTCATCCCCACCACCCTCTACAAGACCGAGTACCAAACCCAGTACCAAACTGAATACCAGACAGATTATGTACCCCAATACGTAACCCAAACCGTTTACAAAACCCAGGTAGAGTACGTCACTCAGTACCAGACCGTGTATAAAACCCAATACAACACGCAATACGTCACTAAGACCCAGTACATCCCAGAATACATCACTCAGACCCAATACCTAACCAAGTACGTTACACAGACCCAGTACCAGACCGTGTACAAGACCGACTACGTCCCCCAGTACGTCACCAAGACCGAGGTGCAGTACCAGACCCAGTACCAGACCCAAGTGGTCCCAGAGTACCACACGGTCACTAAGACCCAGCAGACCTACAAGACCGTGTGTCCCAAGCCTGCTTACGGCTACGACTACGGATATTAAGGCTCTGAACACCGGATCTGGAGGCTCCATGCACTAACCCCCAACCCCAAGACAATTGCTATTTTGTTAAATTCTATCCCCCTGTGTACTTACTGTAAATGTTCTTGTATAATATTGTAGGATAAACTGGATTTTATGGTTTAAGTTAGGCAATAAACTGCAGATTAACTATGTGTAGTGTCTTTACTCCCTCTGTGATGACGTTGGGTTTGTGAAGTGTTGTAAGCGCTGAACTGACAGCCATGGTGATCAATTGTATTTATGAAATTAACTGGAAAAAATACTTTGTATTTAAACAAAAATACTCTCTCTCTCTCTCTTTCGCTCCCTCTCTCTCTCTCACTCGCTCTCTCCCCTCCCTCTCTCTCTCACGGGTTATTAAGACCACCACAATAGCTTACTGACCAACCAGCAAGCATGCTTTAGTCCAGACAATTTTCCATATGCAAATTTGGCTTCACTGCATGATTTGGCAGCTTCAAACCAGGAAACCCTAAGACCAGGGAAAATTCAGCCCAGGGTTAGCAATTAAGACCATGGAAGCATCAGACCAGGACAGTAAAAAATGTCAAACATGCGTTTCAAATATTTTTCGTTTCAGGTCAAGAATTGTTAAGTTATATGATGTTCAAACTGACACTAAAAGGACGATAGCGAGGTTAATACTGGAGACCCTGTCTGTGTTTAGATATAGACCACAGCTGCTGCTGGGAAGGTCAGACTGGTCCTCTGAACCCTTAATATATGTAATGTATTCAAAGATAAATATATACCAAACAGGTGAGATTGACACAGATTTAACTTCTGTATGTGATATGTGTATCCATCCTGCTCCCTAATGTTAAAACACCAGCACATTGTAACCTGTGATGGTTGAGAAAAGTGCAAGACAGTGCAGGCGATGAGTCACAATAACGTGGCTGAAGTATGTTGACCAGACCACACACTAGAAGGTGAAGGGACGACGACGTTTCGGTCCGTCCTGGACCATTCTCAAGTCGATTCTCAAGAATCGACTTGAGGTGTTGTCGATCGATTCTCAAGAATCGACTTGAGGTGTTGTCGATCGATTCTCAAGAATCGACTTGAGGTGTTGTCGATCGATTCTCAAGAATCGACTTGAGGTGTTGTCGATCGATTCTCAAGAATCGACTTGAGAATGGGCCAGGACGGACCAAAACGTCGTCGTCCCTTCGCCTTTTAGTGTGTGGTCTGGTCAACGTGGAAGATAGTTAACAAATGTGAGTTACGATAGTGCCTTTAACATATACTCTTGACACCCTTTAAACATGGAACCCCGAAACTGTATCTGTCTATCTGTGAGTCTTACAAGCTTTCTCTCCCATGGTACAGCGCCCTCTGAAATAACCATTTATGAACCTCTTCCTATTCCAAAAGAACTGCTGTGTTCTTAAATCCTCCTCTGATAACTTCTGAGTATTTGATTATATACTCATTGACTACCTTGATGATGATCTACAGACCTCTTGACTTTTAATTTACATTCAAAACTGGTTACTCAAGAACGCTTTTTAATTTCATGGTGGCTGTTCAGTACAGTTCTGAATTTAGAGAACAGAGCTGTTCTATTCAGTACAGTTTTATTCTCTGTTCCCGGATGCTTCCAACGCGTTTGACAGCTTTTGAACACACAAATTCTTTTAGAGAATAGCTTAGCAGAGGGAGGAAACTATGGGGAGAAAGTGCTAAACCATTACGACTATATAACACTTGGAAGAGATCAGGATAAGGATTAGGGATGTGGACGAGGAAAAGGAATAGTGCCCAACCACTTGAACCACCCCAAGTGGTTAGGTACCAAAGTTAGCTATTAGGCACTTAGCATAATAGTATGTCCCATAATGGCTAGATATTTATATATTTCTTATCAGGTATGCAAATTAGCTGTGAAATGGAGTACAATATGTCCTCTCTGAAGAGTTCTCCCTAAAAAAAGTGGTCAAACAAGGTTTGTGTTCTTAGTTCAATTCTATTTCCTACCTATATTGATCCATTGTTAAAAAAAATGAGTTAAGAGCCAGTCAGAGGCAGTACTAAGGTCAGTGTTTTCTGGTATGCTGAGGTTACTTTAAGCTCACAGGACTCGTCTTATCGAGATCCCAGTCTATAATTACTAGGCAGCGAGACTCCTGTAAAGTATTCTGAAAAGCATCTGGAGAATATTATATCCTCAAATGGACCACTTGTCAAATTTTTTGATGCAATTAGAGATCTCAAGGTCAGAACAATTGTCGTCATTAGTGAATTTGGTCACCTTGATACCTGGTCGAAAGTCAAGTTATTCAACAGTGTCTAACTTGTATGGATGTGAGTTACGGGACCGACAAAATGATGACGGTCTTATAGCTTGGTAAGTTTAATTGGTAAGTTTAAATGGTAAGTTTAATTGGTAAGTTTAAATGGTAAGTTTAATTGGTAAGTTTAAATAGTGTTTAATTGATGAGTTTAAATGGTAAGTTTAAATGGTAAGCTTAATTGGTAAGTTTAATTGGTAAGTTCGGTCCCATAGCCTTGGTAAGTTTAATTGGTAAGTTCGGTCCCATAGCCTTGGTAAGTTTAATTGTAAATAGAGGCAATGTTCTAGACGTATCTTAAGCGCCCATTCACTCACTACAAACCTACCTGGCCTCATATCCACACTTGGGGAAAGCATTTAAGAACGAATGATATCACTTTGCCTTTACAATATATCTATCTTTCTTACTGTTAGCTAAACGTCGTACACTTTATGCCTAAAATGAAAGTATTAATTAGGATTGCTATATGCACCTGTTTGTTAAAGCCAGGATTGTTAAGATTTGTATAAGATGTTACAGGTTAAGTTTGTGGTTCTGGTAATGACAATGTCTACGGGCTGAGGTGTTATTGAGACATAATTAATTTTTAATAATAATAATAATAATTTTTATTTAGGCAAAGGTACATACATAAAGAGATTTTACAAAGTTTGTTGGCTTTATAGATAGAGCTAGTACATACAATGCCTAAAGCCACTATTACGCAAAGAGTTTCGGGCAGTAACGCTTTCGGGCAGTAACGCTTTCGGGCAGTAAATTAATGTACTGTAGTTTGTACGTACGGTTTCCCAATTATATATAAATTACTGTTTATAAATAAAGATTTTGATTTGATTGGATTAGTGGATCACTTTCGTCCTTTAATGTCACAGCTGACTGTTAGGGAGCTGAAGCATTAGTGAAGCATTCTCACCCCCTTCAGTCAACCCCAGTTTGAAGTGTTAAGTGTATTTATCAACTTTATACGAAAACTAATACAAATATACACAATCTTTATACATGAGATAACAAAGCTGTGTATATCAGCAAGAGTTCTTTCTAGTCGGAAAATTTCAAGTCACCGGTAAACAGACCAACGCTTCGATGATTAACTCCAACAGCCAAGTTGATCCATTTCCAGGTCAGATTGGAATGGATTCACTACTACGATTACTTCTTCTGTAATCTCTAATCTCATTCTTACTGAAGCGACCATACGAGTCATAAATACTTCTAACTGAAGCGACCATATGAGTCGTAAATACTTCTTACTGAAGCGACCATACGAGTCTTAAATACTTCTTTCTGAAGCGACCATACGAGTCTTAAATACTTCTTACTGAAGCGACCATACGAGTCATAAATACTTCTTACTGAAGCGACCATACGAGTCTTAAATACTTCTTACTGAAGCGACCACACGAGTCTTAAATACTTCTTACTGAAGCGACCATACGAGTCTTAAATACTTCTTACTGAAGCGACCATACGAGTCTTAAATACTTCTTACTGAAGCGACCATACGAGTCATAAATACTTCTTACTGAAGCAACCATACGAGTCGTAAATACTTCTTACTGAAGCGACCATACGAGTCATAAATACTTCTTACTGAAGCGACCATACGAGTCTTAAATACTTCTTACTGAAGCGACCATACGAGTCGTAAATACTTCTTACTGAAGCGACCATACGAGTCGTAAATACTTCTTACTGAAGCGACCATACGAGTCGTAAATACTTCTTACTGAAGCGACCATACGAGTCGTAAATACTTCTTACTGAAGCGACCATACGAGTCTTAAATACTTCTTACTGAAGCGACCATACGAGTCATAAATACTTCTTACTGAAGCAACCATACGAGTCGTAAATACTTCTTACTGAAGCGACCATACGAGTCGTAAATACTTCTTACTGAAGCGACCATACCAGTCATCAATAATCACACTCCGCCCAAGTAAAACAGAAACAAGCAACACTTAGTGGGTCAGCCAGAGGCTTAGGGCCCGCGCAGGGATATCCCTGCAAAACAACAACAAATCTAATCTCATCTTTGGTAAAGCCGATTAAAGAATATATATATATATATATATATATATATATATATATATATATATATATATATATATATATATATATATATATATATATATATATATATATATATATATATATATATATATATATATATATATATATATATATATATATATATATATATATATATATATATATATATATATATATATATATATATATATATATATATATATATATATATATATATATATATATATATATATATATATATATATATATGTCGTACCTAGTAGCCAGAACGCACTTCTCAGCCTACTATGCAAGGCCAGATTTGCCTAATAAACCAAGTTTTCCTGAATTAATATATTTTCTCTAATTTTCTTCTTATGAAATGATAAAGCTACCCATTTCATTTTGTATGAGGTCATTTTTTTTTATTGGAGTTAAAATTAACGTAGATATATGACCGAACCTAACCAACCCTACCTAACCTAACCTAACCTATCTTTATAGGTTAGGTTTGGTTAGGTAGCCGAAAAAGTTAGGTTAGGTTAGGTTAGGTAGGTTAGGTAGTCGAAAAACAATTAATTCATGAAAACTTGGCTTATTAGGCAAATCGGGCCTTGCATAGTAGGCTGAGAAGTGCGTTCTGGCAACTAGGTACGACATATATATATATATATATATATATATATATACACAGATTCGGTATAAGGAAAGGTAATACGGAAATAGAAATGTCATCTTAAGAGTTAAAATGTGAATAGTTGATGGCAGGAAATCTTGGGCTGTGGGGCTATAGCGCTTTTCTGGCGCCAGAAAAGTCCAGGGGCTCAGAAAAGTCCAAGGGGCCAGAAAAATCCAGGGGCCAGAAAAGTTCAGGGGGCCAGAAATGTCCAGCAGCCAGAGAAGTCCAGGGGGCCAGAAAAGTCCAGGGGGCCAGAAAAGTCCAGGGGGCCAGAAAAGTCCAGGAGGGTCAGACAAGTCCAGGGGGGCAGAAAAGTCCAGGGGGGGGCAGAAAAGTCCAGGGGGGGGGCAGAAAAGTCCAGGGGGTCAGAAAAGTCCAGGGGGCAGAAAAGTCCAGGGGGGCAGAATAGTCCAGGGGGCCAGAAAAGTCCAGGGGGCCAGAAATGTCCATGAGCCAGAAAAGTCCAGGGGAGCCAGAGAAGTCCAGGGGAGTAGAAAAGTCCAGGAGGGGTCAGAAAAGTTCAGAGGGGCCAGAAAAGTCCAGGGGCCAGAAAATTCCAAGGGCCAAAAAAGTACAGAGGGGCCTGAAAAGTCCAGGGAGTCAGAGAAGTCCAGGGGGCCAGAAAAGTCCAGGGGGCCAGAGAAGTCCAGGGGGGCCAGAAAAGTCCAGGGGCCAGAAAAGTCCAGACGAGGCCAGAGAAGTCCAGGGGGCCAGAGAAGTCCAGGGGGCCAGAAAAGTCCAGGGGCCAGAAAAGTCCAGAGGGGGTCAGAAAACAGTTCAGGCTCTTTAGATTAATTCTTTAGGCTGTAGAATGTGAGCAGGAACATAATAATTTTAGAGCTGTGAAAGAAGGAAAGTTTGATGTGAAAAGTTTATGTGGCACAGAGATAGGAAATGACAAAAGAGATACGGAATAGCGACAAATATCAAAAGAAAAATCAATGAAATTGAGGTGAAGTTAGAATGAATATTTTTTGAAGGACGGTTTTGAGAATGAGATGAGAATGCTACACAGATTCCAAAGCGAAAGAATGCTCCTCAAATGCTCCAAACACACCTACCAAGCTACTGTGGATTCAACAAAATAAAATCATAAGTTTTACTTGATAACTAAAACTGTTTTTATAATAGAACTTTAATAGAATAGCACCAAACGTTTAAACACAAATCAAGCATCAAGCTTTGATTGCAAGCTTCTTTTACGATATTCTAAAAAATACAAAAGTATTTTTCCTTCATATTTCAATATAAATACTTCTTTGTTGAGTAAAGTTGAGAAGTATAGATGAACAGAAATACATCACGTAAACACAGACCCATAATGATAAAATATTGAGGGAATAACTTAGGATCGAACCAGCGTCCCTGGAGTGCTCTCACACACACACGGACAAGGGTTGGATCCCAAGGTATAACCTCTTATGATATAACTGTGGTCAGCACAACCCATCCAAAACCACATATAACTCCCCCAGGTCCTTGTCATTCCCCCCAGAGGACCCCGTTCCCCGGGGGGTTGGGAGGCTCGACGCCTCATCATCCGGGTAATGGTTCCACAGCTCTTTAACACAGCCTTCGTCTCCAAGGTCACCATCACCACCACCTCTGGCAACCCAGGAAGGTGCAGCAGTCCCCCGCGCTATATATATACAAGAGCGTTCTAGCCACAATCATCAGTCTCTCTCCTGCTCTTGCACTGCTAACAACCCCTCAAGTGAGCGCTTGGGTTACATATTCATTACCTTCTTCACTTCTATACAAGACAATGTGATGATTACTACATGATGAGAAACACAGAAATATCTTCATTTTGTGTGTTTATGTATTGATTATTTTCTTCTAGCAGATGATGTCATCAAGTTTGTTTGTGGTGGTGTTGGGTGTGGTGACAGCGGTGGGGGCTGACCCCAGCTACCCCCAATCCGCCCCCTGCTACCCCAAGACCCAGTACGTCACCCAGTACCAGACGCAGGTCCAGCAGGTCAGTACTGGGGCAGGTCCAGTAGGTCAGTACTGGGGCAGGTCCAGTAGGTCAGTACTGGGGCAGGTCCAGTAGTATTGGGGCAGGTTTAGTAGGTCAGTACTTGGCCAATTACAACAAATCAGAAATAGGACAATTCATCAAATCTGGAAAACATTATAAACCAAACAAATAATTGGGATGAAAACAAACAAAAACAAAATACGGTTAGACTTTGAGGTGAAAGAAAAACTATTCTTCGTCTACATTTTCATTCTGGAAAAGAAAATACAAATGATTTTAATACGTTTTTCTCCCCGCAGGTTCCTGTGTATACGACTGTGTACAAGACCCAGGTCGTCCCCACCACCCTCTACCAGACCCAGTACCAGACCCAGTACGTGACCAAGTACCAGACCCAGTACGTTCCCCAGTACGTCACCGAGACCGTCTACAAGACCCAAGTCCAGTACCAGACCCAGTACGTAACCAAATACCAGACCCAGTACCAGACCCAATACGTCACCAAGACCGAGTATGTCCCCCAGTACATCACTCAGACCCAATACCAAACCCAGTACGTTACACAGACCCAGTACCAGACCGTGTACAAGACCGAATACGTCCCCCAGTACGTCACCAAGACCCTGGAACAGTACCAGACCCAGTACCAGACCCAAGTGGTCCCAGAGTACCACACGGTCACCAAGACCCAGCAGACCTACAAGACGGTCTGCCCCAAGCCCTCCTACGGCTACAGCTACTGAAGGACCGGTCAGCCAGCAGACCGGAGGGCGCCTCCCCCAAACTGTTCACCGTCAGGAGTCAACATGATATCTTATGGGGCCAGAAAACCTTACTATTTATAACATCGAATACAACACTAACCGATATCTCTTCTCTCTATATTATATATGTATAATATATTGTATATGTATATATATGTATATCCAAGTCCTGTAAAACGATTATATACGAGTAGACTAGAAAACAAGTCTAAATAAAATTTGAATTGACAATTTATTATTATTCAGTTTTATCCTATTGTATAAACTGTATACACTTTTATCTCCATGGACACGAAAAGCATGTTGTGAAGACTATTTATGTATATGAATAATAACATCGAAATAAAAGGTATCTTTTGAATGCCATTGATCAGATTCACAAGATCTATTACTGTCAGTAGACTCATTAATGACAGTGTTGTTAATGCAGGTAAGCTAACGGCCCGACCTGTTCGGGAATCGCACCCAGGACCAGTTAGTTGTGAGCAGACTGTGGTTACCACTGCGCTTCTTTCTCTTCTTCTTCTGCATCTACATATTTTTATTCCACTTGTGCTTCTTCCTTTCTTAATTCTTCACGTGACACAATAGCTCCTCCAGTCATGACACTCATGACAGTGTCATTACCTGTGCTCGAGAAGGAGCACGTCATTAACTGTTGACACCTGTCATGTTCTGGGCCTCCAGGCAAGAGGTCACGGTGTCAAGGTCAACAATGTTCCAGCGAAAATGTCTTCAGCCGAAGATTTGTGTCGAGTGGTTTCTGGAGTGTCATGACTGGTCGGTAGGGCGACGACATCACGTCAAGCAAAGCGGAGTTCGATGCCCGATGGGCCAAGTTGTTGACCACCGTTCCATCCCTCCGTCCTCATATCCCAGCTCCTTGTCCCTATATTCCTCCCAAGTCCTATATAATTATTTTATCTTGGCGCTTTCATCTGAGAATTATCATTCCTTAATCTTCGCGACGAGGTAAGACGAACTGTGAGACAAATTGTTCCACTGGTGATATAAATTAACATCAAACTCCAGTGGGAAGGAGTTGCTGTTGACACTTCGGTGCCAACAACGGGGTGAAGAAGACAGTGTCAAGTATGACACTCAACATATCTTTCATGAGCCTAACAATGCATAAAGTTTATGTAATCTCTACACACACAACCACACCATTACCAGGGATATCCTGACCACCATTACCAGGGATATCCTGACCACCATTACCAGGGATATCCTGACCACCATTACCAGGGATATCCTGACCACCATTACCAGGGATATCCTGACCACCATTACCAGGGATATCCTGACCACCATTACCAGGGATATCCTGACCACCATTACCAGGGATATCCTGACCAGCAACTCTGAACTAATCGAGAGCTACACCGACAACTGGAGACTATATATACCAGAAGCACTTCACATCAAACACTCTCATCCAATTATCAACAGCCAGCTTACACCAAGTGCGTCCTACCAACAATACGACCAAGTACGTCCTACCAACAATGCGACCAAGTGCGTCCTACCAACAATACGACCAAGTCCGTCCTACCAACATACGACCAAGTGAGACCAGCCAGTTTTCACCCAAACCACCGCCGCACTCGACCAGGTTACAACACACAACTGAAGTACTTGCTCGAACGTAATCATCCTGGCTTAAGGCTTTCTCTTCTTAATTACTTTATCTTATCATCTTTCTCTTGACACATCTACATGCAATACTGCTGTGCTTCTCTTCCATCCCCTTTCCCTCGGCCTCTGACGATGCTAAGTGTAAACTTAGCATAACAAGTTCGGCCCATTAAAAGACTCGAAAAAAAATTTGACGTTATTTTTTAATAATTTACTTTCCAACTGAAGAAGAAGCCGAGGTATATGGATATAATTAATTCTGAAATCATTGATATAAGCTTTAGTGCGGGACAATGCTACACTGACCTTGCCAGCAGCTGTGGTAGTGAAGATTGATGAATGCTCCAGACTGAGACCAGGTGTGGTACTGATAGTTCAGAATGCCCCACTAATGCTCCAGACTGAGAGCAGCTATGGGATTATAGGTTCAGAATGCCCCACTAATGCTCCAGACTGAGACCAGGTGTGGTACTGATAGTTCAGAATACCCCACTAATGCTCCAGACTGAGAGCAGCTATGGGATTATAGGTTCAGAATGCTCCACTAATCTTCCAGACTGAGAACAGCTGTGGTGCTATAGGTTCAGAATGCTCCACCAATGCTCCAGACTGACATTTGAAAGCACCTGTGGGAACACAAAATTATTAAGTTCCTTCAGTATCTCAAAATCTCTTTTTCAATATGAAATTTCAACCACATAAACAGAATAAAAAAAACATATAACAAAAACATAAAAAAATTACAAGTTACAATTACAATAACGACAGTTTTACTTCAAATATGAATACAAATATTTTATTACTGAGTGAAGTTGAGAAAGTATAAATGAACATACATGACAAAACACAGGAATGAGAAAATAATGAGGTAATATCTTGTGATCGAACCCGCGACCCTGAACTCCTCAGACACACACGGACGCAGGTTGGATCCCAAGGTATAACCTCTTATGATATAACTGTGGTCAGCACAACCCATCCAAACCACATATAGCTCCCCCAGGTCCTGGTCATTCCCCCCCAGAGGACCCCGTTCCCCGGGGGGTTGGGAGGCTCGACGCCTCATCATCCGGGTAATGGTACCACAGCTCTTTAACACAGCCTTCGTCTCCAAGGTCACCATCACCACCACCTCTGGCAACCCAGGAAGGTGCAGCAGCCCCCCGCGCTATATATATACAAGAGCGTTCTAGCCACAATCATCAGTCTCTCTCCTGCTCTTGCACTGCTAACAACCCCTCAAGTGAGCGCTTGGGTTACATATTCATTACCTTCTTCACTTCTATACAAGACAATGTGATGATTACTACATGATGAGAAACACAGAAATATATTCATTTTGTGTGTTAATGTATTGATTATTTTCTTCTAGCAGATGATGTCATCAAGTTTGTTTGTGGTGGTGTTGGGTGTGGTGGCAGCGGTGGGGGCTGACCCCAGCTACCCCCAACCCGCCCCCTGCTACCCCAAGACCCAGTACGTCACCCAGTACCAGACGCAGGTCCAGCAGGTCAGTACTGGGGCAGGTCCAGTAGGTCAGTACTGGGGCAGGTCCAGTAGGTCAGTACTGGGGCAGGTCCAGTAGTATTGGGGCAGGTTTAGTAGGTCAGTACTTGGCCAATTACAACAAATCAGAAATAGGACAATTCATCAAATCTGGAAAACATTATAAACCAAACAAATAATTGGGATGAAAACAAACAAAAACAAAATACGGTTAGACTTTGAGGTGAAAGAAAAACTATTCTTCGTCTACATTTTCATTCTGGAAAAGAAAATACAAATGATTTTAATACGTTTTTCTCCCCGCAGGTTCCTGTGTATACGACTGTGTACAAGACCCAGGTCGTCCCCACCACCCTCTACCAGACCCAGTACCAGACCCAGTACGTGACCAAGTACCAGACCCAGTACGTTCCCCAGTACGTCACCGAGACCGTCTACAAGACCCAAGTCCAGTACCAGACCCAGTACGTAACCAAATACCAGACCCAGTACCAGACCCAATACGTCACCAAGACCGAGTATGTCCCCCAGTACATCACTCAGACCCAATACCAAACCCAGTACGTTACACAGACCCAGTACCAGACCGTGTACAAGACCGAATACGTCCCCCAGTACGTCACCAAGACCCTGGTACAGTACCAGACCCAGTACCAGACCCAAGTGGTCCCAGAGTACCACACGGTCACCAAGACCCAGCAGACCTACAAGACGGTCTGCCCCAAGCCCTCCTACGGCTACAGCTACTGAAGGACCGGTCAGCCAGCAGACCGGAGGGCGCCTCCCCCAAACTGTTCACCGTCAGGAGTCAACATGATATCTTATGGGCCCAGAAAACCTTACTATTTATAACATCGAATACAACACTAACCGATATCTCTTCTCTCTATATTATATATGTATAATATATTGTATATGTATATATATGTATATCCAAGTCCTGTAAAACGATTATATACGAGTAGACTAGAAAACAAGTCTAAATAAAATTTGAATTGACAATTTATTATTATTCAGTTTTATCCTATTGTATAAACTGTATACACTTTTATCTCCATGGACACGAAAAGCATGTTGTGAAGACTATTTATGTATATGAATAATAACATCGAAATAAAAGGTATCTTTTGAATGCCATTGATCAGATTCACAAGATCTATTACTGTCAGTAGACTCATTAATGACAGTGTTGTTAATGCAGGTAAGCTAACGGCCCGACCTGTTCGGGAATCGCACCCAGGACCAGTTAGTTGTATGCAGACTGTGGTTACCACTGCGCTTCTTTCTCTTCTTCTTCTGCATCTACATATTTTTATTCCACTTGTGCTTCTTCCTTTCTTAATTCTTCACGTGACACATTAGCTCCTTCAGTCATGACACTCATGACAGTGTCATTACCTGTGCTCGAGAAGGAGCACGTCATTAACTGTTGACACCTGTCATGTTCTGGGCCTCCAGGCAAGAGGTCACGGTGTCAAGGTCAACAATGTTCCAGCGCAAATGTCTTCAACTGAAGAATTGTGTCGAGTGGTTTCTGGAGTGTCATGACTGGTCGGTAGGGCGACGACATCGCGTCTAGCAGAGCGGAGTTCGATGCCCGATGGGCCAAGTAGTTGGACACCGTTCATTCCCTCCGTCCTCATATTCCAGCCCCTTGTCCCAATATTCCTTTCAAGTGCTATATACTTATTTCAATTTGGCGCTTTGTGCTGGGAATTGCCATTCCTTAATCTTCGCGACGAGGTAAGACGAACTGTGAGACAAATTATTCCACTGGTGATATAAACTGATATCAAACTCCAGTGGGAAGGAGTTGCTGTAGACACTTTGGTGCCAACGACGGGGTGAAGAGGACAGTGTCAAGTATGACACTCAACATATCTTTCATGAGCCTAACAATACATAAAGTTTATATAATCTCTACACACACAACCACACCATTACCAGGGATATCCTGACCACCATTACCAGGGATATCCTGACCACCATTACCAGGGATATCCTGACCACCATTACCAGGGATATCCTGACCACCATTACCAGGGATATCCTGACCACCATTACCAGGGATATCCTGACCAGCAACTCTGAACTAATCGAGAGCTACACCGACAACTGGTGACTATATATACCAGAAGCATTTCACATCAAACACTCTCATCCAATTATCAACAGCCAGCTTACACCAAGTGCGTCCTACCAACAATACGACCAAGTACGTCCTACCAACAATGCGACCAAGTGCGTCCTACCAACAATACGACCAAGTCCGTCCTACCAACAATAAGCCCCAGTCCGTCCTACCAACAACACGACCAAGTGAGACCAGCCAGTTTTCACCCAAACCACCGCCGCACTCGACCAGGTTACAACACACAACTGAAGTACTTGCTCGAACGTAATCATCCTGGCTTAAGGTTTTCTCTTCTTAATTACTTTATCTTACCATCTTTCTCTTGACACAGCTACATGCAATACTGCTGTGCTTCTTCTCTTCCATCCCCTTTCCCTCGGCCTCTGCCGATGCTAAGTGTAAACTTAGCATAACAAGTTCGGCCCATTAAAAGATTCGAAAACAAATTTGACGTTATTTTTTAATAATTTACTTTCCAAATGAAGAAGAAGCCGAGGTATATGTATATAATTAATTCTGAAATGACTGATATAAGCTTTAGTGCGGGACAATGCTACACTGACCTTGCCAGCAGCTGTGGTAGTGAAGATTGATGAATGCTCCAGACTGAGACCAGGTGTGGTACTGATAGTTCAGAATGCCCCATTAATGCTCCAGACTGAGAGCAGCTATGGGATTACAGGTTCAGAATGCTCCACTAATCTTCCAGACTGAGAACAGGTGTGGTAGTGTAGGTTCAGAATGCTCCAACAATGCTCCAGACTGACATTTGAAAGCACCTGTGGGAACTCAAAATTATTAATTTCCTTCAATATATCAAAATCTTTATTTTTTTTAATATGAAATTTCAACCACACAAATAGAATAAAGAAAAACCATAAAATAACAACAAAAATAAAAAACTATTACAAGTTACAAATACAAATAAAAGCAACTGTTTTACTTCATATATCGATACAAATACTTCTTTGTTGAGTGCAGTTGAGAATTATAAATGAACAGAAATGTATCACGTAAACAGATATATAATGATAAAATATTAAGGTAATAACTTAGGATCGAACCAGCGTCCCTGGAGTTCTCTCACACACACACGGACAAGGGTTGGATCCCAAGGTATAACCTCTTAAGATATAACTGTGGTCAGCACAGCCCATCCAAAACCACATATAGCTCCCCCAGGTCCTGGTCATTCCCCCCCAGAGGACCCCGTTCCCCGGGGGGTTAGAAGGCTCGACGCCTCATCATCCGGGTAATGGTCCCACAGCTCTTTAACACAGCCTTCGTCTCCAAGGTCACCATCACCACCACCTCTGGCAACCCAGGAAGGTGCAGCAGCCCCCTGCGCTATATATATACAAGAGCGTTCTAGCCACAATCATCAGTCTCTCTCCTGCTCTTGCACTGCTAACAACCCCTCAAGTGAGCGCTTGGGTTACATATTCATTACCTTCTTCACTTCTATACAAGACAATGTGATGATTACTACATGATGAGAAACACGTAGAAATATCTTCTTTTTAGTGTGTTTATGTATTGAATATTTTCTTCTGGCAGATGATGTCATCAAGTTTGTTTGTGGTGGTGTTGGGTGTGGTGGCAGCGGTGGGGGCTGACCCCAGCTACCCCCAACCCGCCCCCTGCTACCCCAAGACCCAGTACGTCACCCAGTACCAGACGCAGGTCCAGCAGGTCAGTACTGGGGCAGGTCCAGTCGGTCAGTACTGGTGCAGGTAAAGCAGGTCAGTACTGGGGCAGGTCCAGTAGGTCAGTACTGGGGCAGGTCCAGTAGGTCAGTACTGAGGCAGGTCGAGCAGGTCATTACTGGGGCAGGTCGAGCAGGTCAGTACTTGGCTAATTAAAATAAATCAGAAATAGGGCAATTCGTCAGTTCTGGAACTCATTATAAACCAAACAGATTATTAGGATGAAAACAAAGAAATCCAAAAACCTTTAGACTTTGAAGTGAAAGGCAAACTATATTTTGTCTGCAATTTCATTCTTCGAAAAGTAAATAGAAATGTTTTTAATACGTTTGGTCTCCCTGCAGGTTCCTGTGTATACGACTGTGTACAAGACCCAGGTCGTCCCCACCACCCTCTACCAGACCCAGTACCAGACCCAGTACGTGACCAAGTACGAGACCCAGTACGTTGCCCAGTACGTCACCGAGACCGTCTACAAGACCCAAGTCCAGTACCAGACCCAGTACGTAACCAAATACCAGACCCAGTACCAGACCCAATACGTCACCAAGACCGAGTATGTCCCCCAGTACATCACTCAGACCCAATACCAAACCCAGTACGTTACACAGACCCAGTACCAGACCGTGTACAAGACCGAATACGTCCCCCAGTACGTCACCAAGACCCTGGTACAGTACCAGACCCAGTACCAGACCCAAGTGGTCCCAGAGTACCACACGGTCACCAAGACCCAGCAGACCTACAAGACGGTCTGCCCCAAGCCCTCCTACGGCTACAGCTACTGAAGGACCGGTCAGCCAGCAGACCTACAAGACGGTCTGCCCCAAGCCCTCCTACGGCTACAGCTACTGAAGGACCGGTCAGCCAGCAGACCGGAGGGCGCCCCCCCAAACTGTTCACCGTCAGGAGTCAACATGATATCTTATGGGCCCAGAAAACCTTACTATTTATAACATCGAATACAACACTAACCGATATCTCTTCTCTCTATATTATATATGTATAATATATTGTATATGTATATATATGTATATCCAAGTCCTTAAAACGATTATATACGAGTAGACTAGAAAACAAGTCTAAATAAAATTTGAATTGACAATTTATTATTATTCAGTTTTATCCTATTGTATAAAATGTATACACTTTTATCTCCATGGGCACGAAAAGCATGTTGTGAAGACTTTCAAATATATGAATAATAACATCGAAATAAAAGGTATCTTTTGAATGCCATTGATCAGATTCACAAGATCTATTACTGTCAGTAGACTCATTAATGACACAGTGTTGTTAATGTAGGTAAGATAACGGGCCGACCTGCTCGGGAATCGCACCCAGGACCAGTTAGTTGTAAGCAGACTGTGGTTACCACTGGGCTTCTTTCTCTTCTTCTGCATCTACATATTTTTATTCCACTTGTGCTTCTTCTTTTCTTAATTCTTCACGTGACACATTAGCTCCTTCAGTCATGACACTCATGACAGTGTCATTACCTGTGCTCGAGAAGGAGCACGTCATTAACTGTTGACACCTGTCATGTTCTGGGCCTCCAGGCAAGAGGTCACGGTGTCAAGGTCAACAATGTTCCAGCGCAAATGTCTTCAACTGAGGAATTGTGTCGAGTGGTTTTTGGAGTGTCTAGACTGGTCGGTAGGGCGACGACATCCCGACTAGCATAGCAGAGTTCGATGCCCGATGGGCCAAGTGGTTGGGTACCGTTAATTCCCTCCGTATTCATATCCCAGCTCTTTGAAAAAATATTCCTCCCAAGTCTTATATAATTATTTTAGCTTGGCGCTTTCATCTGAGAATTACCATTCCTTAATCTTCGCGACGAGGCAAGACGAACTGTGAGACAAATTATTCCTCTGGTGATATAAATTAACATCAAACTCCAGTGGGAAGGAGTTGCTGTAGACACTTTGGTGCCAACGACGGGGTGAAGAGGACAGTGTCAAGTATGACACTCAACATATCTTTCATGAGCCTAACAATACATAAAGTTTATGTAATCTCTACACACACAACCACACCATTACCAGGGATATCCTGACCACCATTACCAGGGATATCCTGACCACCATTACCAGGGATATCCTGACCACCATTACCAGGGATATCCTGACCACCATTACCAGGGATATCCTGACCACCATTACCAGGGATATCCTGACCAGCAACTCTGAACTAATCGAGAGCTACACCGACAACTGGAGACTATATATACCAGAAGCACTTCACATCAAACACTCTCATCCAATTATCAACAGCCAGCTTATACCAAGTGCGTCCAACCAACAATACGACCAAGTCCGCCCTACCAACAATACGACCAAATACATTCTACCAATAATACGACCAAGTCCGTCCTACCAACAATACGACCAAGTACGTCCTACCAGCAATACGACCAAGTGAGACTATCCAGTTTTCACCCAAACCACCGCCGCGCTCGACCAGGTTACAACACACAACTGAAGTACTTGCTCGAACGTAATTATCCTGGCTTAAGACCTTTTCTTCTTAATTATTTCATCTTACCATCTTTCTCTTGACACAGCTACATACAATAATGCTGTGCTTCTCTTCCATCCCCTTTCCCTCGGCCTCTGACGATGCTAAGTGTAAACTTAGCACAACACGTTCGGCCCATTAAAAGATTCACAAGAATTTTTGGCATTATTATTTTTGTTTAAATTTACATTCCAAATGAAGAAGAAGCCGAGGTATATGCATATAATTAATTCTGGAATCACTGATATAAGCTTTAGTGCGGGACAATGCTACACTGACCTTGCCAGCAGCTGTGGTACTGAAGATTGATGAATGCTCCAGACTGAGAGCAGGTGTGGTACTGTAGGTTCAGAATGCTCCAGACTGAGACCAGGTGTGGTACTGATAGTTCAGAATGCCCCACTAATGCTCCAGACTGAGAGCAGCTATGGGATTATAGGTTCAGAATGCTCCACTAATCTTCCAGACTGAGAACAGCTGTGGTACTATAGGTTCAGAAAGCTCCACCAATGCTCCAGACTGACATTTGAAAGCACCTGTGGGAACTCAAAATTATTAATTTCCTTCAGTGCCTCAAAATCTCTTTTTTCAATATGAAATTTCAACCACATAAACAGAATAAAGAAAAACCATACAACAAAAACATCAAAAAATAATTACAAGTTACAATTACAAATAATAACCGGTTTTATTTCAAATATCAATAGAAATATTTATTTATTTATTGAGTGAAGTTGAGAAGTATAATTGAACAGAAATAAATGACAAAAAACACAGCAATGAGAAAATATTGAGATAATATCTTGTGATCGAACCCGCGTCCCTGGACTCCTCAGGCACACACGAGGACGCAGGTTGGATCCCAAGGTATAACCTCTTGTGATATAACTGTCGTCAGCACAACCCATAACTCCCCCAGGTCCTTGTCATTCCCCCCAGAGGACCCCGTTCCCCGGGGGGTTGGGAGGCTCGACGCCTCATCATCCGGGTAATGGTTCCACAGCTCTTTAACACAGCCTTCGTCTCCAAGGTCACCATCACCACCACCTCTGGCAACCCAGGAAGGTGCAGCAGCCCCCCGCGCTATATATATACAATAGCGTTCTAGCCACAATCATCAGTCTCTCTCCTGCTCTTGCACTGCTAACAACCCCTCAAGTGAGCGCTTGGGTTACATATTCATTACCTTCTTCACTTCTATACAAGACAATGTGATGATTACTACATGATGAGAAACACAGAAATATCTTCATTTTGTGTGTTAATGTATTGATTATTTTCTTCTAGCAGATGATGTCATCAAGTTTGTTTGTGGTGGTGTTGGGTGTGGTGACAGCGGTGGGGGCTGACCCCAGCTACCCCCAACCCGCCCCCTGCTACCCCAAGACCCAGTACGTCACCCAGTACCAGACGCAGGTCCAGCAGGTCAGTACTGGGGCAGGTCCAGTAGGTCAGTACTGGGGTAGGTCCAGTAGGTCAGTACTGGTGCAGGTCCAGTAGTATTGGGGCAGGTTTAGTAGGTCAGTACTTGGCCAATTACAACAAATCAGAAATAGGACAATTCATAAAATCTGGAAAACATTATAAACCCAACAAATAATTGGGATGAAAACAAACAAAACAAAATACGGTTAGACTTTGAGGTGAAAGAAAAACTATTCTTCGTCTACATTTTCATTCTGGAAAAGAAAATACAAATGATTTTAATACGTTTTTCTCCCCGCAGGTTCCTGTGTATACGACTGTGTACAAGACCCAGGTCGTCCCCACCACCCTCTACCAGACCCAGTACCAGACCCAGTACGTGACCAAGTACCAGACCCAGTACGTTCCCCAGTACGTCACCGAGACCGTCTACAAGACCCAAGTCCAGTACCAGACCCAGTACGTAACCAAATACCAGACCCAGTACCAGACCCAATACGTCACCAAGACCGAGTATGTCCCCCAGTACATCACTCAGACCCAATACCAAACCCAGTACGTTACACAGACCCAGTACCAGACCGTGTACAAGACCGAATACGTCCCCCAGTACGTCACCAAGACCCTGGTACAGTACCAGACCCAGTACCAGACCCAAGTGGTCCCAGAGTACCACACGGTCACCAAGACCCAGCAGACCTACAAGACGGTCTGCCCCAAGCCCTCCTACGGCTACAGCTACTGAAGGACCGGTCAGCCAGCAGACCGGAGGGCGCCTCCCCCAAACTGTTCACCGTCAGGAGTCAACATGATATCTTATGGGCCCAGAAAACCTTACTATTTATAACATCGAATACAACACTAACCGATATCTCTTCTCTCTATATTATATATGTATAATATATTGTATATGTATATATATGTATATCCAAGTCCTGTAAAACGATTATATACGAGTAGACTAGAAAACAAGTCTAAATAAAATTTGAATTGACAATTTATTATTATTCAGTTTTATCCTATTGTATAAACTGTATACACTTTTATCTCCATGGACACGAAAAGCATGTTGTGAAGACTATTTATGTATATGAATAATAACATCGAAATAAAAGGTATCTTTTGAATGCCATTGATCAGATTCACAAGATCTATTACTGTCAGTAGACTCATTAATGACAGTGTTGTTAATGCAGGTAAGCTAACGGCCCGACCTGTTCGGGAATCGCACCCAGGACCAGTTAGTTGTATGCAGACTGTGGTTACCACTGCGCTTCTTTCTCTTCTTCTTCTGCATCTACATATTTTTATTCCACTTGTGCTTCTTCCTTTCTTAATTCTTCACGTGACACATTAGCTCCTTCAGTCATGACACTCATGACAGTGTCATTACCTGTGCTCGAGAAGGAGCACGTCATTAACTGTTGACACCTGTCATGTTCTGGGCCTCCAGGCAAGAGGTCACGGTGTCAAGGTCAACAATGTTCCAGCGCAAATGTCTTCAACTGAAGAATTGTGTCGAGTGGTTTCTGGAGTGTCATGACTGGTCGGTAGGGCGACGACATCGCGTCTAGCAGAGCGGAGTTCGATGCCCGATGGGCCAAGTAGTTGGACACCGTTCATTCCCTCCGTCCTCATATTCCAGCCCCTTGTCCCAATATTCCTTTCAAGTGCTATATACTTATTTCAATTTGGCGCTTTGTGCTGGGAATTGCCATTCCTTAATCTTCGCGACGAGGTAAGACGAACTGTGAGACAAATTATTCCACTGGTGATATAAACTGATATCAAACTCCAGTGGGAAGGAGTTGCTGTAGACACTTTGGTGCCAACGACGGGGTGAAGAGGACAGTGTCAAGTATGACACTCAACATATCTTTCATGAGCCTAACAATACATAAAGTTTATGTAATCTCTACACACACAACCACACCATTACCAGGGATATCCTGACCACCATTACCAGGGATATCCTGACCACCATTACCAGGGATATCCTGACCAGCAACTCTGAACTAATCGAGAGCTACACCGACAACTGGAGACTATATATACCAGAAGCACTTCACATCAAACACTCTCATCCAATTATCAACAGCCAGCTTACACCAAGTGCGTCCTACCAACAATACGACCAAGTACATCCTACCAACATTACGACCAAGTGCGTCCTACCAACAATAAGACCAAGTACGTCCTACCAACAATACGACCATGTACGTCCTACCAACAATACGACCAAATACGTCCTACCAACAATACGACCAAATACGTCCTACCAACAATACGACCAAGTACGTCCTACCAACAATACGACCAAGTGCGTCCCACCAACAATACGACCAAGTACGTCCTACCAAGAATACGACCAAGTACGTCCTACCAACAATACGACCAAGTGCGTCCTACCAAGAATACGACCAAGTACGTCCTACCAACAATAAGCCCCAGTCCGTCCTACCAACAACACGACCAAGTGAGACCAGCCAGTTTTCACCCAAACCACCGCCGCACTCGACCAGGTTACAACACACAACTGAAGTACTTGCTCGAACGTAATCTTCCTGGCTTAAGGCTTTCTCTTCTTAATTACTTTATCTTATCATCTTTCTCATGACACAGCTACATGCAATACTGCTGTGCTTCTCTTCCATCCCCTTTCCCTCGGCCTCTGACGATGCTAAGTGTAAACTTAGCATAACAAGTTCGGCCCATTAAAAGATTCGAAAACAAATTTGACGTTATTTTTTAATAATTTACTTTCCAAATGAAGAACAAGCCGAGGTATATGGATATAATTAATTCTGAAATCATTGATATAAGCTTTAGTGCGGGACAATGCTACACTGACCTTGCCAGCAGCTGTGGTAGTGAAGATTGATGAATGCTCCAGACTGAGAGCAGCTCTGTTACTGTAGGTTCAGAATGCTCCACCAATGCTCCAGACTGACATTTGAAAGCACCTGTGGGAACACAAAATTATTAAGTTCCTTCAGTATCTCAAAATCTCTTTTTCAATATGAAATTTCAACCACATAAACAGAATAAAAAAACACATAACAAAAACATAAAAAAATTACAAGTTACAATTACAATAACGACAGTTTTACTTCAAATATGAATACAAATATTTTATTACTGAGTGAAGTTGAGAAAGTATAAATGAACATACATGACAAAACACAGGAATGAGAAAATAATGAGGTAATATCTTGTGATTGAACCCGCGACCCTGAACTCCTCAGACACACACACGGACGCAGGTTGGATCCCAAGGTATAACCTCTTATGATATAACTGTGGTCAGCACAACCCATCCAAACCACATATAGCTCCCCCAGGTCCTTGTCATTCCCCCCCAGAGGACCCCGTTCCCCGGGGGGTTAGGAGGCTCGACGCCTCATCATCCGGGTAATGGTACCACAGCTCTTTAACACAGCCTTCGTCTCCAAGGTCACCATCACCACCACCTCTGGCAACCCAGGAAGGTGCAGCAGCCCCCCGCGCTATATATATACAAGAGCGTTCTAGCCACAATCATCAGTCTCTCTCCTGCTCTTGCACTGCTAACAACCCCTCAAGTGAGCGCTTGGGTTACATATTCATTACCTTCTTCACTTCTATACAAGACAATGTGATGATTACTACATGATGAGAAACACGTAGAAATATCTTCTTTTTAGTGTGTTTATGTATTGATTATTTTCTTCTGGCAGATGATGTCATCAAGTTTGTTTGTGGTGGTGTTGGGTGTGGTGGCAGCGGTGGGGGCTGACCCCAGCTACCCCCAACCCGCCCCCTGCTACCCCAAGACCCAGTACGTCACCCAGTACCAGACGCAGGTCCAGCAGGTCAGTACTGGGGCAGGTCCAGTAGGTCAGTACTGGTGCAGGTAGAGCAGGTCAGTACTGGGGCAGGTCCAGCAGGTCAGTACTGGGGCAGGTCCAGCAGGTCAGTACTGAGCCAGGTCCAGCAGGTCAGTACTGAGGCAGGTCCCGCAGGTCAGTACTGGGGCAGGTCCAGCAGGTCAGTACTGGGGCAGGTCCAGCAGGTCAGTACTGGGGCAGGTCCAGCAGGTCAGTACTGGGGCAGGTCCAGCAGGTCAGTACTGGGGCAGGTCCAGCAGGTCAGTACTGAGCCAGGTCCAGCAGGTCAGTACTGAGGCAGGTCCCGCAGGTCAGTATTTGGCCAATTACAACAAATCAGAAATAGGACAATTCATCAAATCTGGAAAACATTATAAACCAAACAAATAATTGGGATGAAAAAAAACAAAAACAAAATACGGTTAGACGTTAAAGTGAAAGACAAACTATTCTTTGTCTACATTTTCATTCTGGAGAAGTATATACAATGTTTTTAATGCGTTTTTCTCCTCGCAGGTTCCTGTGTATACGACTGTGTACAAGACCCAGGTCGTCCCCACCACACACTACCAGACCCAGTACCAGACCCAGTACGTGACCAAGTACCAGACCCAGTACGTTCCCCAGTACGTCACCGAGACCGTCTACAAGACCCAAGTCCAGTACCAGACCCAGTACGTAACCAAATACCAGACCCAGTACCAGACCCAATACGTCACCAAGACCGAGTATGTCCCCCAGTACATCACTCAGACCCAATACCAAACCCAGTACGTTACACAGACCCAGTACCAGACCGTGTACAAGACCGAATACGTCCCCCAGTACGTCACCAAGACCCTGGTACAGTACCAGACCCAGTACCAGACCCAAGTGGTCCCAGAGTACCACACGGTCACCAAGACCCAGCAGACCTACAAGACGGTCTGCCCCAAGCCCTCCTACGGCTACAGCTACTGAAGGACCGGTCAGCCAGCAGACCGGAGGGCGCCTCCCCCAAACTGTCACCGTCAGGAGTCAACATGATATCTTATGGGCCCAGAAAACCTTACTATTTATAACATCTAATACAACACTAACCGATATCTCTTCTCTCTATATTATATATGTATAATATATTGTATATGTATATATATGTATATCCAACTCCTGTAAAACGATTATATGCGAGTAGACTAGAAAACAAGTCTAAATAAAATTTGAATTGACAATTTATTATTATTCAGTTTTATCCTATTGTATAAAATGTATACACTTTTATCTCCATGGACACGAAAAGCATGTTGTGAAGACTTTCAAATATATGAATAATAACATCGAAATAAAAGGAATCTTTTGAATGCCATTGATCAGATTCACAAGATCTATTACTGTCAGTAGACTCATTAATGACAGTGTTGTTAATGTAGGTAAGATAACGGGCCGACCTGCTCGGGAATCGCACCCAGGACCAGTTAGTTGTAAGCAGACTGTGGTTACCACTGGGCTTCTTTCTCTTCTTCTGCATCTACATATTTTTATTCCACTTGTGCTTCTTCCTTTCTTAATTCTTCACGTGACACATTAGCTCCTCCAGTCATGACACTCATGACAGTGTCATTACCTGTGCTCGAGAAGGAGCACGTCATTAACTGTTGACACCTGTCATGTTCTGGGCCTCCAGGCAAGAGGTCACGGTGCCAAGGTCAACAATGTTCCAGCGCAAATGTCTTCAACTGAAGAATTGTGTCGAGTGGTTTTTGGAGTGTCTAGACTGGTCGGTAGGGCGACGACATCCCGACTAGCATAGCAGAGTTCGATGCCCGATGGGCCAAGTGGTTGGGTACCGTTCATTCCCTCCGTCCTCATATCCCAGCTCTTTGAAAAAATATTCCACCCAAGTCTTATATAATTATTTTAGCTTGGCGCTTTCATCTGAGAATTACCATTCCTTAATCTTCGCGACGAGGTAAGACGAACTGTGAGACAAATTATTCCTCTGGTGATATAAATTAGCATCAAACTCCAGTGGGAAGGAGTTGCTGTAGACACTTTGGTGCCAACGACGGGGTGAAGAGGACAGTGTCAAGTATGACACTCAACATATCTTTCATGAGCCTAACAATACATAAAGTTTATGTAATCTCTACACACACAACCACACCATTACCAGGGATATCCTGACCACCATTACCAGGGATATCCTGACCACCATTACCAGGGATATCCTGACCACCATTACCAGGGATATCCTGACCACCATTACCAGGGATATCCTGACCAGCAACTCTGAACTAATCGAGAGCTACACCGACAACTGGAGACTATATATACCAGAAGCACTTCACATCAAACACTCTCATCCAATTATCAACAGCCAGCTTACACCAAGTCCGTCCTACCAACAATACGACCAAGTACGTCCTACCAACAATGCGACCAAGTACGTCCTACCAACAATACGACCAAGTACGTCCTACCAACATTACGACCAAGTACGTCCTACCAACAATACGACCAAGTACGTCCTACCAACAATACGACCAAGTGCGTCCCACCAACAATACGACCAAGTACGTCCTACCAACATTACGACCAAGTACGTCCTACCAACAATACTACCAAGTACGTCCAACAATACGACCAAGTACGTCCTACCAACAATACGACCAAGTGCGTCCTACCAACAATACGACCAAGTGGAACCAGCCAGTTTTCACCCAAACCACCGCCGCACTCGACCAGGTTACAACACACAACTGAAGTACTTGTTCGAACGTAATCATCCTGGCTTAAGGCTTTCGCTTCTTAATTATTTCATCTTACCATCTTTCTCTTGACACAGCTACATGCAATACTGCTGTGCTTCTCTTCCATCCCCTTTCCCTCGGCCTCTGACGATGCTAAGTGTAAACTTAGCATAACAAGTTCGGCCCATTAAAAGATTCGAAAACAAATTTGACGTTATTTTTTAATAATTTACTTTCCAACTGAAGAAGAAGCCGAGGTATATGGATATAATTAATTCTGAAATCATTGATATAAGCTTTAGTGCGGGACAATGCTACACTGACCTTGCCAGCAGCTGTGGTAGTGAAGATTGATGAATGCTCCAGACTGAGACCAGGTGTGGTACTGACAGTCCGGATTGCCCCACTAATGCTCCAGACTGAGACCAGGTGTGGTACTGATAGTTCAGAATGCCCCACTAATGCTCCAGACTGAGAGCAGCTATGGGATTATAGGTTCAGAATGCTCCACTAATCTTCCAGACTGAGAACAGCTGTGGTACTATAGGTTCAGAATGCTCCACCAATGCTCCAGACTGACATTTGAAAGCACCTGTGGGAACACAAAATTATTAAGTTCCTTCAGTATCTCAAAATCTCTTTTTCAATATGAAATTTCAACCACATAAACAGAATAAAAAAAAACACATAACAAAAACATAAAAAAATTACAAGTTACAATTACAATAACGACAGTTTTACTTCAAATATGAATACAAATATTTTATTACTGAGTGAAGTTGAGAAAGTATAAATGAACATACATGACAAAACACAGGAATGAGAAAATAATGAGGTAATATCTTGTGATTGAACCCGCGACCCTGAACTCCTCAGACACACACGGACGCAGGTTGGATCCCAAGGTATAACCTCTTATGATATAACTGTGGTCAGCACAACCCATCCAAACCACATATAGCTCCCCCAGGTCCTGGTCATTCCCCCCCAGAGGACCCCGTTCCCCGGGGGGTTAGGAGGCTCGACGCCTCATCATCCGGGTAATGGTACCACAGCTCTTTAACACAGCCTTCGTCTCCAAGGTCACCATCACCACCACCTCTGGCAACCCAGGAAGGTGCAGCAGCCCCCCGCACTATATATATACAATAGCGTTCTAGCCACAATCATCAGTCTCTCTCCTGCTCTTGCACTGCTAACAACCCCTCAAGTGAGCGCTTGGGTTACATATTCATTACCTTCTTCACTTCTATACAAGACAATGTGATGATTACTACATGATGAGAAACACAGAAATATCTTCATTTTGTGTGTTAATGTATTGATTATTTTCTTCTAGCAGATGATGTCATCAAGTTTGTTTGTGGTGGTGTTGGGTGTGGTGGCAGCGGTGGGGGCTGACCCCAGCTACCCCCAATCCGCCCCCTGCTACCCCAAGACCCAGTACGTCACCCAGTACCAGACGCAGGTCCAGCAGGTCAGTACTGGGGCAGGTCCAGTCGGTCAGTACTGGTGCAGGTAGAGCAGGTCAGTACTGGGGCAGGTCCAGCAGGTCAGTACTGGGGCAGGTCCAGTCGGTCAGTACTGGTGCAGGTAGAGCAGGTCAGTACTGGGGCAGGTCCAGCAGGTCAGTACTGGGGCAGGTCCAGCAGGTCAGTACTGAGTCAGGTCCAGCAGGTCAGTACTGGGGCAGGTCCCGCAGGTCAGTATTTGGCCAATTACAACAAATCAGAAATAGGACAATTCATCAAATATGGAAAACATTATAAACTAAACAAATAATTGGGATGGGAACAAAAAAAAACAAAATACGGTTAGACTTTAAAGTGAAAGACAAACTATTCTTTGTCTACATTTTCATTCTGGAGAAGTATATACAATGTTTTTAATGCGTTTTTCTCCTGGCAGGTTCCTGTGTATACGACTGTGTACAAGACCCAGGTCGTCCCCACCACACACTACCAGACCCAGTACCAGACCCAGTACGTGACCAAGTACCAGACCCAGTACGTTCCCCAGTACGTCACCGAGACCGTCTACAAGACCCAAGTCCAATACCAGACCCAGTACGTAACCAAATACCAGACCCAGTACCAGACCCAATACGTCACCAAGACCGAGTATGTCCCCCAGTACATCACTCAGACCCAATACCAAACCCAGTACGTTACACAGACCCAGTACCAGACCGTGTACAAGACCGAATACGTCCCCCAGTACGTCACCAAGACCCTGGTACAGTACCAGACCCAGTACCAGACCCAAGTGGTCCCAGAGTACCACACGGTCACCAAGACCCAGCAGACCTACAAGACGGTCTGTCCCAAGCCCTCCTACGGCTACAGCTACTGAAGGACCGGTCAGCCAGCAGACCGGAGGGCGCCTCCTCAAACTGTTCACCGTCAGGAGTCAACATGATATCTTATGGGCCCAGAAAACCTTACTATTTATAACATCGAATACAACACTAACCGATATCTCTTCTCTCTATATTATATATGAATAATATATTGTATATGTATATATATGTATATCCAAGTCCTGAATGACGATTATATACGAGTAGACTAGAAAACAAGTCTAAATAAAATTTGAATTGACAATTTATTATTATTCAGTTTTATCCTATTGTATAAAATGTATACACTTTTATCTCCATGGACACGGAAAGCATGTTGTGAAGACTATTTATGTATATGAATAATAACATCGAAATAAAAGGTATCTTTTGAATGCCATTGATCAGATTTACAAGATCTATTACTGTCAGTAGACTCATTAATAACAGTGTTGTTAATGCAGGTAAGCTAACGGCCCGACCTGTTCGGGAATCGCACCCAGGACCAGTTAGTTGTAAGCAGACTGTGGTTACCACTGCGCTTCTTTCTCTTCTTCTTCTGCATCTACATATTTTTATTCCACTTGTGCTTCTTCCTTTCTTAATTCTTCACGTGACACATTAGCTCCTTCAGTCATGACACTCATGACAGTGTCATTACCTGTGCTCGAGAAGGAGCACGTCATTAACTGTTGACACCTGTCATGTTCTGGGCCTCCAGGCAAGAGGTCACGGTGTCAAGGTCAACAATGTTCCAGCGCAAATGTCTTCAACTGAAGAATTGTGTCGAGTGGTTTCTGGAGTGTCATGACTGGTCGGTAGGGCGACGACATCGCGTCTAGCAGAGCGGAGTTCGATGCCCGATGGGCCAAGTAGTTGGGCACCGTTCATTCCCTCCGTCCTCATATTCCAGCCCCTTGTCCCAATAT